TTTTTGAACTTTAGTAAGTTGCTTTTAACCCAACATTCCAACAGGAACTGGGGCAGTACCTTGTACTCAAACTCATTAACATTTCTGCAGCAAAATGCATGAATATTCAATTCACATTCAGTAGGATAAATAAAGACTATAAATAGTCTCACAACCATTCAGGTCAGATTTGTAAGTGTGAAGAAATACATTCTGTTTTTTTCTGAGCTTCAGAATTTTTAAATTTGGGAAAAAAATAGTCTATATTGTATTACTATACTGCATTCAATCTGTTTAAAACGTCTTCATTTAATAACTAAAAGAGGCTTTCTTGCCTGCCACATTCAGGTACAACACTAATTTCTAAATTAAGTTTAGTATTAGCAATAGCACTGGAAACTACCTAGTTAAATTCCTTATGTCAGTGTGAGGAAACCAATGCCCAGAGAGATGGGATGACTTTCCTGGGGCCACACAGTATTTTTCTTCAGAGATAAAACTGGAGCATACAGGTCTCTGGTCTCTCAAGCTATTTCTCTCTTTTCTTCTCCTCTTCCTGTCTCTCTTCTCTGCTCTCTGCTACATTTTAAATTTCAAAATAACGAAATAGTTACATATAGAAATCTGCAAAAATTACATACAATGTTAGCTATCCTCCACACAGCTCCACCCAATTGTGGTTAAAATTTTAGCTAAGAATACAATACCAAAGGGGGAAAAAATGACTTGATACATTAATGTTAACTAAACTACAGCCCTTACTTGTTTTTTTAGCACTTTGTTTCATTTCACATTCACTTACATCTGTAACTGTATGTAGTTCTATGCAATTTTATTTCTTGTCCACATATGACTAGCATCATAAAGATTCCAAACTGCTCCATCACAATACAGCTCTTTGAATTGCTTTTTCCTCCTGAAACCCACCTTGTTCCTGACTCCAGAAATCACTAATTGGTTCTCTATCTGTACAGTTTTGGCATTTTGAAAACAAAATATATATTGAATGGATGGAATCATACACTAGATAAAGTGTATCATACATTTGCAAGATGGTGCTTTGTCTAGGAAATGTTTACCTTTCTTTAGGTTCTGAAGATGTTCATTTGAGTTTTCTTCTAAAAGTTCTAGTCTTCTATTTCTATACTTTATATTTATGCTAAAACCATTTCAAACCAATTTCACAATGATAAATTTACACTACTTTTTTTTTTTTTTTGCTTATGTGGTGCTGGGGAATCGAACCCAGGGCCTCATGCATGCAAGGCAAGCACTCTACCACTGAGCCACCTTCCCAGCCCATTACACTACTTTTTTTTTAAGTTAGGCTTGAAACTTTTTTTGGGGGGAGGGGACTTTGATGTCTTAATGTTCTAGCTCCATTTGTTGAAAAGACTATCCTCATACTGAATAAAGATTTAGGTATATTTATCTTGATTATGTTTGGATTTTCTGTTCTGACATTGATAGGTCTGTCTGTGTCTCTGCTCCTGTCACACCATTTTACGATATACTAAGAATTCATAGACGAAATGGTTTTTCCTTTTTTATGTTTTCCTCCATCTCTAACATTTTGGCTATTCTAGCTATATTCATGCTACTCACTTTATTGCTTTTAATATCATTCATACACCTAGTAGAAATATAACTACCTGGGAGAGAAGAGAAAAGAATTATGAAGGAAGAAGTAATACATCACATTACTCTAAAATATTATTCCTGAGCTAGATGTCCATGTCTCACACCTATAATTTTAGCTACTTAAAATTACAATTTACACTTAAAATTACCAATTGCTATGTTGCTCCCAGTACTGGACCAAATCTCAAGATTTTTTTATTTGCTGTCGATTCTAATTTGAACGGTTTTAAGAGTGTACTACTTCTAGACTCTTTTTCCCTTTCCTCAATAGAGTAGCTTTGGTAAACAAAAGAAAGTAGTGAATAATAAATGGCAGTAATTTCCTTTTTCCCCTCCTAGTATTTGCCAAAACAATATAATTCACCTAATATGGTTAAGTATAAACATACAATATAGTTCAAGGGTTAGGATACTGATTGGAGAAAAAAATAATAAAGACCATGTCCAATTTCATAAGACCTTGACTATTCCAGCTACTGGGAGTCTCTTTGATCCTTGACTACCACATGCTGAGAATATCTTCATTATCAATGATTTGCTAACAGGACTTCAACATATTAGTGTACAGTATGTGAAGTAATGCTACTTAATCCATACTTTTAGCTCTAATTTACAATAACCATAGCCTGCCTTAAAAGAATACAGTATGTTTATATGTGTCACATAGGGCCTAGGGATGTAGTCTAGTGGTAGAATGCTTGCCTATCATGCACAAGGCCCAGGGTTCAATTCCCTGCAGTGAACGGAAAAAAAAAAGGGTATGTAAAGTTTCTTTGCTCATTGACTGCCTATGAGTTCAGATCACTTAATTTGCAGCACACTATCACAGTAAATCAATAAGATACATGCATATTAGTGCTCACTTACAAAATACAATTTATATAGGATACCAGTACAACTTGGCTAAAATTTGCTATTTGATTTGTTCTGCTCCAACTCTTTCAGTAGTACTATGGGACTACTAGGCAGGTAGTCTACAGTCAGGAAAGTTTCAGAGCCATTAGTATCACATTTCTTTTTTTCCCATTTAAACACACCTCACTCAGATAATAGTACTACTTTTCACCTGGTGTATCTGACAACTTCAAAAGGGATCCTTTCAAAGCCTTTGTTAGATGCTCTAGTAACTAAGTAAATGAATTGCAATTTTTTTACTGTGACATTAATAAATTTTTTAGCTCTACTCGCTTCCCTTCAGTATCTTATTAAAGACATTACAATACTCAATATAGTTCAATAATACAACCCCCATTATTGACACCATTATTCCTACCACACAAAAAGAAACCTCCTTCTTGATTAGCAAACATTCAGAAACTTCTGCCTGGCACCAGTGGCACATGCATGTAATCCTAACTACTCAAGAGACTGAGATCTGGATGATCTCAGCTCAAGGCCAGGCAGTAAAGTCTGTTAGACAGGATCTTAAAAATCATCAGCAAAAAGTAGGTCTGGAGACAAGGCAAAGTTAACAGCCAAGCAAGTAAGCACAGCAAGCACAAGGCCCTGAGTTCAAACCCTAGTACCACTATAACAAAATAGAAAAAACCTTTCTGATGCTAATGTTACAAGAACATATGGAGTAGCCTGAACTGAAGCTTGGAAAAGATCCATGTCACAAGAACACCGAGTAATTTGAGAATGTAAACTGGTATTACTACTTTAGAAAACAATTTGCATTGATCTTGGCTCAAGTGATGGAACCTAGCATGTGACCTTAAGTTGAAATTCCAGTATAAAAATTGTTTTAAAAAAAGGAGGAAAGGAGAAAAAGGAGGAAGAAACAAAAGAAGAAATAAAATCACCTTATTATTGCTATTTAGTAACTTCTATAATAAGAAATGACAGCTATTTTCACACACACAAAAAAAGAAACAAGGTAGGAGAAGTGGGTGTGGTTAAAAGTACAAAAGGAGGAATCTTTGACGCAACTGATACCTTAGGGCACATAATTTTTTTGAAGGGTGGAACTGTCCTAGGTATTTAAGTCAGGGCCAACTGGCCAAATGCTCCTTTGTGATTATCAAAAATGTCTCTATACCTTGTCAAGTGTCCCTTGGAGGGCAAAAATTGAGAACCACTACTCTAGTTATAAAGCCAAGAAGAGATATGGAAATTCCTGATTGGAAAACGAGTAACAACACATAACTAAATACAACACTGATCCTAGTTTGGATCCTGTACTAAAAAGTGAAAAATACCAAAAGGACATTATTAGGACAATTAATAAAATAAATGATGAAAGTATTGTATCAATACTGAATGTACGTAAGTTGAAAACCAAAGAATGTGTCAGAAATGCATAAGTATTTAGGTATAAAGGATCATGATAAATGTAATCTTCCCTTAAATTAATCACAGAAATATATAGTTATATACAATAGACATCATAAATCACATACCATATATATTTTATATCTTCTATATATCATATACCATATATTATATATCATATACCATACATTATAAAATATATATGTATATTATATATGATACATCAAATATTATGTATCATATAGTTATATACATACATGAATAGTGTGTGAGTATAACAGGTGAATCTGACTAATGGGTACATAGTGTATTTATTTGTACTATATTTATTCTTGCAACTTTTCTGTATCTTTGGAATTAATTACAAATTAAATGACATGGGTTGTTAAAAAGGTTCTATCCCGGCTCCTGTGTCTTATACCTTGCTACAGCAGGCTGAGATTTGAGGACTGAGGTTTGAAGCAGTTGGGGCAGGAAAGCTAGGGAGACTCCATCTCCAAGTAGCCAGGAAAAAAAAAACGGAACTGGAAGTGTGGCTCAAGCCAGAGCTGAAGCCCTGAGTTTGAGTTCAATCCCTGATATTACATCAAAAAATAAAAATAAAAGTTCTAAAAACTCTAATGGCAGGTTTCACAGCAGTAGTCCAGGATAAAGTAATAAAAATCCCAGAAAGAGCATAGTCAATTGGAAAGAGCTGTCTACTTTCAGCCAATCGCTTCCTCTCCGTATTGTCTCTGGAGATAACTTCTGCCGAAAATTAATCTATTACATTTGTTTAAAGGCCATTTCTGGAGAGCGACGCAAACTGACACCCCTGCGTGATTTTTCTACCTCAAATCCCTGAAGTCTCTTCATCTTCAACAGTGAAGTGATATCGCGAAAAAAGGTATTTCAAGAGTTTCTCCTAAGATAACCATTGATCCACCCCGTGGAGGAAGCAAGTTAAGAAAAGAAAGACCCGTCAGAGCAGACAAGGAATGTCTTCACCAGGGACAGAAATGGACAGTGTCAATGGACCGGCTGGGAGCCAATCTGAGCAACGTAGCTGAGATGTGCGGGCCCAGAAAAAGGACTGGCGGGGGGGGGGGGGGTCGGGGTCGGCTCACCTGGCCGTGGTGAGCAGGGGGTGCCGAGTCCCCACCAGCTTCCGCACCTGCATGGCGATGTTGCTGAGCTCGTCGCTGAGCAGGCAGCGGAGGCTCATGAAGGACGTGGGGTAGCCCACGATCTTCTCCGCCTCCGACACCACCTGGCTCCAGTGAGCCGGGGACTTGGTGCACCGACCACGCCAAGAGCCAACCGAGGAGAGCGTGTCGAGGGGCCGAGCCCAGCACCGGCGACGTGGGGGGCCCGAGGCCCCGAGAGCGCGGGGCCAACGCGAAAGCAGCAGCCCGGGGCTCATGACCGCAGTCGCGCGTGAGGAGGGCGAGCGGGACGGGCCACGAACCCGAGGACGGCCCGAGACAGCGCGGGAAAACCAACCAGGGACTTGAGGAGGGACTTTCTCAGGCTCCCGACCCTAGAAATGCGCTGGGATTTCGGGAACCGTGACCAGAAATGAACTTTTGCTGTTTCGGGGTGGACCGCAGCTCAGCGCCGCCTCCGGCCACCTGAAGCAGACACCACTAACATTGCAACGACCGGCATGGGGGACGCCATATCGGAGGTGTGAAATGCGGCCTGTCGTAAAGCTGAAGGGCAGGTTGCGGAGAGGCAAAGAACGAGCTTTGCTTTACGGCGCCGTCGAGACCGGCGCGTAGGGGCGGGGCTCTGGGAGTCCCGGAAGGCGCGGGTGCGGGCGGTGTCCACGTCTGCTGAGGCCGGGGTCGCGGTGTGGACGCAGTGACGTCATCCCCCTCGCCCGGAGTCAGGGGCGTCAGAGCCTCTCAGGAGCGCACACCCGGGGGGCGTACTTAAGTATTTGGGTCGGTGTTTGCCGAGGTCTCTTCCGGATCTCACCACTGGCGTGGGTCCGCTGCCAGCGTCAGGTAGTGTCGATACCTGTGCGGTCCTCCCGGGCTGCGCGCTGTGCGAGCCGTGGGCCCCGATCACGGGGGATGCGAAGACGGACAGTGCGGCCGATTCTAGGCCCTCGGCGTTCGGCTGTGCGGAAGCCGACAAGGCGTGGCCCGACGAGGAGGGGTCCTCGTTCCTAGAATGTCTCCCGTCGTCGTTGCGATCTCTGGCATCCTCTCTGATTCTGACCGTCTCCCGTGTATTTCCTCACTAGGGTGGGGAGGAGGTGCTATGAAGGTTGTTTATGCCCTACTTTTCCTCCTACTCTGCCGTTTTGTATCAGGATTTGAACTCAGAACCTGGGTCCTGCCCCTTAGCATTTTTCATTCAAGGCTAGCGCTCTACCACTAGTTACAGCTCCACTTCTGGCCTTTTCTTGGGGGTTTGATTAGTAAGAGCCTTAGGGACTTTTTTAGCCCAGGAGGCTTCAAGTCGTGAACCTCGGATCTCAGCCTCTCATTAGTAGCCAGGATTACAGTCTTGAGTCACCAGTCCCCAGCTCGCCTCTTTTTCATTCCTTCTTATATCTGACTCGGCATTTAGGATTCAGAACTAACCACTGGCCTGATCTACTTCATTATGTATCTTCGCAGTTTGTAAGAGTAAACCGATGACAGGCAGGTTGAATAAATGTTTAAGGCCACATTGGGCAAGAATGAACATAATTCATCCAGAACTTTTTTTTTCCTTTCTTTTTCAACCCTGGGGTTTGAACCTGGGTCTAGTACATGCTAGTCAAGTGCTGTGTCGTGTAGGGCCCATGAAATCATTAGATCTATGGCAAACAGACATGTATTCTTTTTTTGGGGGGGAGGGGGACTCCAGGAGGCATCTGCCAGTATTGATAGTTTTGTATGCCCCAAAATGACGTTGTAAACATACAAATGGCCCTCACCCTGAAGGTAATAGGCTACCAATAATATTTTTCCTCAGTAAGAGGAAGTCATCTGTGTGATTGTTTAAATAATGCTACCTTTTCTTCTAGTATGTCTAGTGTCTTGCCCCTTTATTAACAAGTGTAAAACACTTATTAATAATAAAGATATATTACCTACTTCTTTGGAGGGAGTGGTGGTACTCAGCATTGAATTTAGCACCCCCCCTTTCTAGGAAAACACAACCAGTTCAAGTCACATCTCCATTCCCTTTTCTCCTTTATTGTGAAAATGCTGTACAGAGGGGTTACAATTACATGGGCAAAATAATGAGTACATTTCTTATCAAGCATTGTAGGCTCCTCCTTTGTTTCGCCTTCCCATCCCATCCTCTCCCCATCCCCCCACCTAATCCTCCCCCCCCACCAAAGTTGTAAAGTTCCTTTTCAACATAACGACTTGTACATCTCATTGCAGTCCCTCCTTTTTATACTCAGAGTTTCTTAAACGTTCTTCAGCTTTGAAAATCCTTCCTAATTCTTGCTTCATATTTTTAAATTAGCATCATACACAATCATAGGCTAGATTTTCAAGCCACATATAAAAATTGGGACTTACAAAGCAGACACTCTGAAAACATTACAGGATGAAATAGGAGAAACCCTAGGTCTCCTTGGCTCAGGCCGAAATTTTCTGAATAGAGACCCGGAAACACAACAAATCAAAGAAAGGTTGGACAAATGGGATTTCATGAAGTTGCAGAGCTTCTGCATGGCAAAGGACATA